TACTCCTTCCACTTAAAACCCTCCACAGCCTCCTCATTCCTCAGTTTAAAATTCCAAGCCCTCATGACCTGAAGGATCCCACCTCCCCCACATCCCCTCCCACCAGCTCCAGCCATTCTGCCAGCTCAGATACACCAGGCGCTCTGGTTTCTGTGTTCTGTCCACCTTCACCACACTTTTCTGCCCTTTGCATGCAGGAGAAAGGTCACCCCTCCAGATCAGTCAGGTGGGGGTGGGCTGTGCTGATACAGCCCCTCACCTCTTGGAGCAGACCAGACCTTTAACATTTTGTTTTCTGAGGCCGGGCGCGGTGGCTCAAGCCTGTAATCCCAGCACTTTGGGAGGCCGAGGCGGGTGGATCACGAGGTCGAGAGATCGAGACCATCCTGGTCAACATGGTGAAACCCCGTCTCTACTAAAAATACAAAAAATTAGCTGGGCATGGTGGCGCGTGCCTGTAATCCCAGCTACTCAGGAGGCTGAGGCAGAAGAATTGCCTGAACCCAGGAGGCGGAGGTTGCGGTGAGCCGAGATCGCGCCATTGCACTCCAGCCTGGGTAACAAGAGCGAAACTCCGTCTCGAGAAAAAAAAAAAAAAAAAAACATTTTGTTTTCTGGTCTGGCTTTTTTTTTGTTTTTATTTTTTGGTGGTGGTGGTTGTTTGTTTTTGAGGTGGAATCTCCCTGTCGCCCAGGCTGGAGTGCAGTGCTATGATCTTGGCTCACTGTAACCTCTGCCTCCCGGGTTCAAGTGATTCTCCTGCCTCAGCCTCCCCGAGCAGCTGGGACTACAAGCACCCACCACCATGCCCAACAAATTTTTTTTTTTTGTATTTTTAGTAGAGACAGGGATTCACCACCATTGGCCAGGCTGGTCTCGAACTCCGGACCTCAGGTGATCCACCCACCTAGGTTACTTTTTAAAATCATTTGCTGGCTGGGTGTGGTGGCTCACGCCTGTAATCCAGAATTTAAGGAGGCCGAGGCGGGCAGATCACCTGAGGTCAGGAGTTCGAGACCAGCCTGACCAACATGGCAAAACCCCATCTCTACTAAAAATAAAAAAAATTAGCTGGGCATGGTGGTGGGTGTAATCTCAGCTATCGAGGGAGGCTGACGCAGGCTTGTAATCTCAGCTATTCAGGGAAGCTGACACAGGAGAATCACTTGAACCCAGGAGACAGAGGTTACAGTGAGCCAAAATCATGCCACTGCACTCCAGCCTGGGCAACAGAGCAAGACCCCATCTCAAAAAGTAAAAATTTAAAAATCATTTGCTTAGCCAAGCACAGTGGCACTGGACTATAGTCCCAGCTACGCAGGCAGGGATCTCTTGAGCCCAGGAGTTCGAAACCAGCTGAACAACATAGCAAGACCCCGTCTCTACAGAAAATTTTAAAATTAAGTCAGACATGGTGGCTCACACCTGTAATCCCAGCACTTTGGAAGGCTGAGGCAGGTGGATCACTTGAGGCAAGGAGTTCGAGGCCAGCCTGGCCAACATGGTAAAACCCCATCACTACTAAAAATACAAAAATTAGCTGGGTGTGGCAGCTTACACCTGTAATCCCAACTACTCAGGAAGCTGAGGCGGAGGAATTGCTTGAGCCCAGGAGGCAGAGGCTACAATGAACTGAGATGTCGATCCTGTGTCCCAGCTACTCAGGAGGCTGAGGCAGGAGGATCTCTTGAGCCCAGGAGTTCAAGACCAGCTAGACAACATAGCGAGACCCTGCCTCTACAGAAAATTTTAATATTGGCCAGGCATGGTGGTACATGCCTACAGTCCTAGCTACTCAAAAGGCCAAGGCAGGAGGAGCACAGGAGCTTGAGGCTGCAATAAGAAGTAACTGCACCACTGCACTCCAGTCTGGGCAACAGAGTAAAACTCTGTCTTAAAAATAAATAAATAAAGGCCGGGCGCGGTGGCTCAAGCCTGTAATCCCAGCACTTTGGGAGGCGAGGCGGGTGGATCATGAGGTCAAGAGATCGAGACCATCCTGGTCAACATGGTGAAACCCCGTCTCTACTAAAAATACAAAAAACTAGCTGGGCATGGTGGCGCGTGCCTGTAATCCCAGCTACTCAGGAGGCTGAGGCAGGAGAATTGCCTGAGCCCAGGAGGTGGAGGTTGCAGTGAGCCGAGATCGCGCCATTGCACTCCAGCCTGGGTAACAAGAGCGAAACTCCGTCTCAAAAATAAATAAATAAATAAATAAATAAATAAATAAATAAAATTTAAAAGTAACAAAATCAGCTGGGTACACTGGGGCATGCCTGTAATCCCAGCACTTTGGGAGGCTAAGACAAGCGAATCGCTTGAGCCCAGGAGTTCAAGACCAGCCTGGACAACATAGCAAGACCCTACCTCTACTAAAAATACAAAAAGTTGGTAGGGCATGGTGGCACATGCCTATAGTCCTAGCTACTTGGGAGGCTGAGGTGGGGGGAATGGACTGAGCCTGGGAAGCAGAGGTTGCAGTGAGCCGAGATCATACCACTACAGAGTGAGACCCTATCTCAAAAAAAATAATTTCCATCTCAGATTTGTGTGTTCACTGCCCCTGACTCCCCAGAAGAACGTGAGCTCCAATGAGGACAGAGATTTCTGTTTGTTGGGTTCACTGCCGCATTCCTGGGAGGCGAGTGGTGCCTGGCACGCAGGAAGCACTTGGAAATTATGTGCTGAGTAAATGAGCAAGTGAGGAAAGAAGGAAAGCACTGGGGTTAGAAGCTGAAGAACCCCGGGAGACAGCCCCCCCACCCCCCAGAGGCCCTTCCAGATTCCAGAACTCTCCCAGGGCCTCCCTTGTCACCTCTGACCAGAGAAGGAAGCCCCTTGTAAATCGTCCTTATCTCTCTATCACTCTGCCAGCGGTCCTCACTGATAAATCTTTCTAAATCAATCCCAGTATGCTGACAAACTGGATTCCAGAGATAGATCTGATCAGACCCTGGAGAAGGCCCACAGCCCCCTGTTGACCGCTGGCCAGGGCCTCCCCACCCAGATCCCTGGGTCCTACCCTCTATTCACGTACCCTCCCAGCCTAGGGTGTGAGGGCAGGGAGAATAAACATCCAAGTACAAAATCCTACTAATAGCTCTTTAGTTGCAGCCTGTGAGAACAACTGAGTCCAGGCCTCCCAACCCTAGAGCACAGAGCCAAGCCCCAGGTGCTTGTCAGTTACATGTCCATTTCCCGGATCAGGCTGTGACTATTTTGTTCACAATGTAGCAAGACTCAAATTAATAGGAAACTTAAAAACCACCCTTTCCTGATTCCTAACCCCATTCATTCTTGAGTTCACCTTCTCTTCTGCAGAGGAAGAGGCCAAATCCAAAGACGAAAAGACCAAATCTCTTCGTCTTGACCAATAAGGTAGAAACCAGCTCTTCCAGGAGACCCTCCCTCGGCAGATGGCTGTCAATTCTAGCTTGGATGGGATTCCTCCCGGGGATCTTTCTCCGAGGGCCACTCCAGCTCTGAGCTCTCTCCAGGGAACCTCCCTCGGCCGAGGAGGGGCTTTATAAGCCCTGGCAGCGCTCATCCACCTCTGCAGAGCCCAATGGTAGTGTGCCTCTTCCTAGCTGTGTGACCCCAAGCAAGTGGCTCAACCTCTCAGGACTTCCCGGTACAAAAATAAACAAATAAAGATGGGACAGATAAGGCTAGCAAGACCTAAGGTGGCGACAGCCAAGGACGAGAGGGAGGTGCCGTAAGAAGAGAAAATTTAACACCTGCACCCCACAAAGAAAACCCGGGAGGGGGAGGGTGTGCTGGGCTGAGGAATGTGTAATCCGGCCCAGCCCCAAGCAGAGAGTGAATGGGAGCAGCTCCCACCTCGTGGCTAATGGGATTAGCACAGGCTTGGCTCTGGGTGTTGGCCTGGGGTCTGAGGTCTCCCGAGCGAGCGGCCACTTAAAGTGGGGGAGGAGGGCAGCCAGAAGCGCACCGGCCCCCACCTTTCCCTCCCAGGTGAGCACGGGGCTCAGGGGGCGGCAGCAGCCCTCCCGCACTGTCCTCCCGGACCTCGGCTTGCAGAAGTCAAACAGCTCTGAACAAGCACAGGAGGCGCAGAGAGGCCAGGCTCCAAGGCTACCTCCCGCTGGGCTTCCAGGGCTGGGGGCTTGGCCTTCCCACCTCAGCCTCCCCATCCAGCAAATGGGCAATAGGCCGTCTGACTGCTGCGTCAGATTAGGCGCGGCCCTGGCACGATGCAGGCTTGCATGAGTAGTGGCTGTTTACACCGCTTCGCATTAGGGCACTTTGCCTTGCCAGGCCGCAGCCAGATCCCAGGCAGGGAGTGCACGACGCCCCTTCCCAGCCTCGCAAAAGCCAAGCACAGGCCCAGCCAGGCAGGGAGACCCAGGCTCCGATTTCCAGGCTTAGGGGGCCCGCCACCACCCTGGGCTGGACCAAATGAGCCAGACACACGTGCGCACACGCACATCACGGTGGACTTGTGTGGAGCGCAAAAGGGGACAGCTCGGACAGCCTCTGTAACCCAGGGCCGCCTCCAACTTCTTCCTGGGGGGTCCCCCGCGTCCCTCCCTCACCACAACACGCCACTCGGGAACAAACGCTTGCCCTGGTCGCAGAGCCTGGGCAGAATGAGCCCCCAGCTCCAGAGGAGCACAACAAGCAGGTCCCGGGGCCAAGACCTGGTTCTCTGGCCCCAGCCTGCGGCCGGCGGGGATCTCCACGCTCCAGGCCCCGGGGCGCGCCCCTCCCCCGCGTGGTGCCTCACAAAGGCCCTTTGTCCCTCCGAGCCCCCGGGACTCCAGTTCCTGAAAAGTTCCAGGAGAAAAATCAAAAAGAGGCAAAATCTGCGAGCTCCGCCAAGCGGGCGGGGCAAGGCCGAAGCAGCAGCTCTGGGCCGGGGGTGTCTCCTGCAAGACCCTCAAGAAGAAGGGGAGCGTTGGGGGCAGGGGGCTCCTCTGAATTCACAAAAATCCTAAATTGCAATTGGAAGAAGGGGAGATGGATTTTTCTTTTTTTATGTCGAGACTTGGGACGCCAAGCACAAAAGCCAGGGGCAGCCTGGGGAGGAGGGACCGGGTGTACTGGGGCGGCTGCTGGGCAGGTCTGAAGGTCCCTGAGTCTCCTACCCGCCCCGCCCGGCTGCAGCGGCCGCGGACAGACCGGAGCAAGAGTCTCCGGGCCCCGGCGCGGCGCCCGCCCGGGAAACGTCCCCACCGCGCCCAAGCAGCCCCTCTCGGGAAATGGCGGACGCCACAGGGCCTTCTCGGCCACCTCCTCCTACGACTCCATGTGAGACCCAGGGTTTCCCCTCCGCCGCCCGGGCCTGACCCGACCCACTCTCTCCCTTCCCTCTGGGTTCGGGACCACGGTGGCCCCGTTTCGGCATCCACGCCGCGCCTCCGCACCCTCTTTCCCGCCGGAGACCAAGGGGTACCCGAGGGCCGAGGTCACCGCCCTCCTACCAGGGTACATGTTCCCAGGGCTGCCGTTCTCCCAAGGAAGAAAGGGGCATCCCGCCCACCCCGAAACCGGGGTTCCAGGGTTGGGGTCACCGTCCTCCCGCATCCCCCGGGGCCCGGGAGCTGCCGGGGATCCGGTTCGGCACGGGTGGTAGAGCTGAGAACAGAACCCAGGGCCCACGGGCGCCAACAGGAGCATTTGCCAAGAAAAAGATTCGAGCTCTGAGAGCGGGTGTCTCACGGGGTGCGGGGGCCGGTTTGTTCTTTTCTTGCCCAGATTTTGAAAACTCCAGCCCAGGCTCGTGCCGCCGGGGCCCCTGGGAATTGGAATCGCCCCCAGTGGCTCCGGTTACGGCACCGGCTTTCGACTCACGAAGGCCAGGCGCTCCGGGGAAAACGCAGCCGAGCCGCGCGCCCCTCTCCGCCGCGGGATTGGCCTTGGCTCCAGGGCCGGAGTTACCCCGCTCTGGGCGGCGAGTCCGCCCGGGCCCCCGTGGCCAGCCGAAGGAGAAGCGCTGAGCCCCAGCCGCGAGTGTGCAGAAGGACCCTGCCGAATGGATCTCCCCGGGAAGACAGGAAAAGGGCGGGCACCGCGCGGGGCACTTACCCGGGTGCGGATGGAGGTTCAGGCCGGCCATGTACTTCCCGGGCGGCAGCGGGCCGGGCAAGCCCGAGGCAGGCAAGCGTCCGGCAGTGGCCGCGCCCACGCGGTGGCTGTCCATGGCCAGGCCGGAGAGCAGAGGCGGCGGGGGACCGTGCACGGACCGCTGGGGCCCGAAGTCTCGGCCATCCATCCTCCGCGGGAGTGCCGCGGCCAGATCCTCACTCGGCCCGCAGGCCTTGCTCAGTGGGACCTAAAAGTTCGGCCTTGGCGTAGTCCCAGAGTCCTCGGGCGGCGGGGGCTCCGCGGCATGCATGGCGGCGGCCAGCGGGGCTTGCGCTCGGTGGCGGGCCGACGGCCCGGGGCGCACAGGCGGCTGGCGGTGGGGCCCCTCCGGACGGCCAGGCAGAGCTGTGCAAGGCGGTGCACACGGCGTCTTGGCGGGGAGGAGACAGGCCGCGGAAGAAATAGAAGCGGAGAAAGAAAAAAGAAAAAAAATAATAAAGTAACAAGTTTCAGAAAGTCGCCTAGCCCTTTTGGATCGGGGATTGCGGACCGAGTGGCTAGAAATGAAATAGGGAGCAGCCCCTTTTCAGTGAAAAGTAAAAATCCATGCTCCTTCCCCGGGCGGCTTCAGGCTTCCAGGACCTGGCTCGGAAAAGTGACCCGCGGCGGTGGCGTGCTGCGCCCCAGCCCGGACTCTGCCTCAGCGGCTGCCGGGTCCTCCCCAAACCGGGAAGGGCTCCTCGGCTGCGCCCGGACAGCGTAAATACAAACCTCTTAAGTGTATTCTATTCCTGGGCGTCAAAGGCTCTGAGGTTTAAAACCCTGAAGCCTTTCCACGAGCGATCCGAAGTGTCTCCCTAAACACTCTGGTACTATCTAATCCGCAAAGTTTAATATTTAACCTTTTGGAGACCTCGCCTCCCTTTTCCGAGTTTGGTTTTTCCTGAGCTCGCCTTGAACCGCTGACGGAATGGTGTTTTTCTGGGGGTGGAAGGAGGGAGGGTCCAAAGCGGGTTTATTATTTTTAAAGAGGCTAGTGGTCCCCCCCTTCACCCCCCGCCCCGACACTGTGAGTCCCAGAGCTCGAGTCCGAGGACCCGAGACGTGGCATTCTCGCCTGAGGACTGGAAAGAATCCTACTGAACAAGCTTTGGTTTCATTTTCAACGCCCTGGCCTGAGATCCTGCAGGCCGAGGACGTGGCCTGGCGTGGGGGATTTGGGGGATGTCAAGAGGGTAAGGAAAGGGATCAAGGGTCTCCTACTCTAGCTTCCCCCCTACAGCCCCCCCCCCCAAATAACCTACAAAGAAAACCTTTGCCTCGCGGGCCGGCCAAGGGGCGCCTCCCCCACCGTTGGGTAAATCCCCCTGTAGTTCCAGTTTAAAGCTGTTTGTTTAAAAGATTTGTCGTTTGCCGATTCTCCTGGGGATGGAAGGGGGGTCTCGGAGCCCACCCTTCCTTCCCTCGATCTCTGTATGCCTGCAGCAGCTCACATTCCTGATTCCGGGAGGCCTGGGCGCTCTTAGAGCCGCCGATCAAGCCAAAGCCACCGCTCCCGGGTGCCCGTTCGGCGCCCTGCACTCCGCTCCCCGCACTCCGCGCCCAAGCCCCCCGAGTAGCAGCCCCCTCGGCTGCAAAACCCTGGCCAAACCCGCCGGCCTTCCTCTCCAGCCTCCCTCCTCAACTTTGCTAAGGGTGCCTATTTTAACACGGTTTTGCTTACAAACACCCTCTCCCTCCCTCCTCCGCTCTCTCCCATCAGGTTCTGGTTACCAGATCCGCGTTTACTTTGGAAAAATCTAAGATCGCCACATCCGAGGATACATGTCTTAAGGAGGCGATGAGTTTTCCGTGATTTTTTTTAGTAAGAAATTCTTTGGGTAGCTATCTTTTAAAAGCCAGCGCCTCGCGGCATGCCCAGGCGCCCCAGTTTGGGGAAGTCGGGGTGAAGCCCCCTGGAACACCCTCGCTCTGGCAAAGAAGCTGCCTCGGCCATCTGCGGGCTCCGCTGCGTTCTCCCTACTTTTCTCCCCCTCTTAAATGCAGTTAAAATGGCTGAATTCCGGCTTTTAATTAAAAACAGCCTATAATCGAAAACGTCTCGGCGTCCCGGGCTCCCCCGCCGCCTACTGGGAACCGAGAGAGGAACCGCCGCCCCTCGGCCGGGCCAGGCGATGCGGAGTGGGGCTAGGGGCTCGTGTGGGCGCCCGGGGCGCAGCAGCCCGCCCCCATCCCTCCCGGGACGCCCCCTCCCAGCCGGCCCTGGTCCCCGATTCTATAATCGGGAGCCGGACAGTAGCGGGGATCTCCCCCGCGCACCCCGAGGGGCAGGCGTGGCTGGGGGGCGAGCTGGAGAAGTTTGGAGACCATCGCGCCCGGCCGGGGGCCGGCAGGCTGACCGGCGGCGTACCTGGCGCGGCTGGGTTCCCGGCTTCGGGCTCCGGCGACAGCGACTCCGGCGGCGGCCCCGGCTACCGGCGCGGCTAGGCGCCCGTGCTGCCCGCCATCCCGCGGCCGCCGCTCTCCTCCGCCACCCGCAGCCGCCTCACACTTTTTGCCCGCCTTTCCTTTTTTTGGTAGAAAACCGCTCCCCGGGCCGAGCGCTCGGCGCGCCTACTCCTCCGCCCTCCCGCAGCCCCCGGAAAAGCCAGCTTTCCTCCCGCCGAGCTCCCCGCTTTTTAATAAAATCCAGGTAGCGCCGGTTTAAAGAATCCCAAATCTCCATATACAGCCCGGGATTGGAAAAGGTACATTACACAACCCCCCTTTCAAGTTCCTCTCGCTGGATCTAAAAAAAAAAAAAAAAAAAAAAAAAAAAAAAAAAAAGGCAGCGGGGCGGGGGGCGGTGGAGGGAGTTGGGGGAGGGGAGCACTCTCCGGCAAAGAAACACGCATTGTTCCCGGGCGTCCGCCCCCCGCAGCCCGGCCCCTGGCCGCCGCGCATTGGCCGCGTGCGCCGCCAATCACGCTCATGTAAACACCTTGGCCCACAGCCATTCCTATAAAACCAATTACGGACCTAGGGGCTCCAGCAGTTTCCAGGCTCCCCTCGGCGGGGCTGAATGATCAAAACTGGTGGTGAGAATTTTTCCGGGCCGTTTCTAGGCAGCCCTCCCCATCCACCAGCGCTACCCCCCCCTTTCTCCTTCTCCTCCCTTTTCCTCCTCCCCCTCCCCCAGCGTCTGGGCTGAGTGATCAAAATAGAGGAAGATGGTTGTCGCCGCAATCCAGGGCTTTGCAAGGCGCGGTTTAATGGGCCGCCTGTCAGCTTCCTGCTCGCAGGAGGAGGTGACAAGCCAAGCGAGCCGGGGAGGGCCTGGGGGCCCGGCGGGCTGCACCCCGGCCTCGGGCCCCGGTCCCCCGCCTCCCCTAGGGTGCGCTTCTAGTACGCGCGGTGGAGACGCCAAAACAGACAAGGGCTGCATTTTCCCTTGTTTTTTTTTCTTCCTTTTAATACAAAGCAGCGATTCATTCCCTCTACCCCAGCAGCGCGGTCGGGTGGGATGGGCAGACGGGAAGGCCGTTTTCCTAGCACTGGCCCTGCGGGTCCCTCCCTGAAACGCAGTGTCAGATGGTTACTGATTAATATTTTGGAGAGGCCGCGGCGGCGGGCAGCGGGTGAGTTTCTAATCTTCTAAAAGGGGTTCCTATAGAAACGCGGACCGGGGCGCGCCCCCCGCTCGGCCCAGGCCCGGGCTGCCGCGCTTCGCACCGCGCGCCCCTCCCTAAAGCCCCTCTTTACGTGGGTGCTCCCCTCTCCCCCCACCAACAAAAAAAATCAGAGCAGAAAAAAGGATTAGATCCGCTGAGCGCGAACTGAATCCCTCTCGATTCTGACATTTCAGCCTATTAGCATTTCTCCACGGAGCCTTCTGAAACCTATTAAAGTGTAATATTAAAAACCTCTTGGCTGGGGGCCTCTCTCGCCTTCCATCCGCCGCGCCCCCTCCAGGGAGGGCGAGACCGGGAAAAAAAAAATCTGTTGAGCTCAGAGGAAGCAGCCGCCAAGCCCAAAAAGTGCTTGGCTGGCCACGGCGGCCGTAGGGGGAGGGGAGCCCCAATCCCCCAGACTTTGTACTTTTATTTTGCGCTTTCAGCAAAATCCTTTCTGGGTTGTGTAGCCATGAGCTGCCCGCGACCGACCTACCTGACCGGGGGCGCAGGGAGTGCGGACCACGCCAGCAGGAATGTCCTGCGGGGCCCCCCGCACCCTCTCTCCGCAGCCCTGTGCAGGCCCCGGAGCCCAGCTAGGCATTACGTACCCTGGAAAGGAAGCTTGGAGGGGCAGAGGTCCTTCCGCTCCTACCTCGGAGAGCAACTGCGGTGATAAGATTTTAATTAAAACAAGAGAAGCCCGCTCTTTCGCCCCGCGCTGCGGACTCAGCGTTTTCGAATTGCCGGTTCTGTTTTTTTTTTTTGGTTTTTTTTTTTTTCCAAATCAATTTTTAAGGCAACTTTTCTGGGGGTGGGGGGAATGAACGAGAGTGCCCATTCGTTCTATTTTTTTTTTCTCCACTTTTAGAAAAAAAAGTGGGGGAGGCTTCGAGAACGAACTGGGGGTGTCTAATTTAATTCCAGGATAAATTTGAGGAAAAAAGTTCAGCCTCTTGAGGGCAGTTTCAAGTTGCCCTTCCTGGAGCTTCCTGCGCTGGTTTCTAGGCTGCCCTCTTTTGGAAGCTGGAGCTTCGCTGGGGGAGGAGGGAGGAGTGAGAAGGAAAGAAAGGAACGAAAATAGCCGGAGCTGAGGGGAACAAGCCACGGTGTCCGCGTTTGGAGCTGGGCGTGCGGGTCTCAGTGGCGGCCTTGGCATTCGGGGCAGCGGGAGGCGCCCGGTGCATCCCCGGGACGGCCAGAAGCAAAGACCGAGAGGAGAGGGGGGTTAGAGAAAGGAGGTATTGTGTCTGTGCGCCTTAGGGGAGGAGGGGACTGCAGGAACCGAGCTGTGCGGGGCTGCTGGAAGCCCAAGCTGGGGAAGGGGGCCGTGTGTGGGGGGCGCCGAGCGCCCTTGAGCCTTATGCAGAGGTCTTGTGTGTTCCTAGTAAGCCCTCCCACGCCCAAGGCCCGATCGCTTTCTCCCCACCCTCTTTACCCACCAAGATCCCCAGCCCAGACCCTAATTCCCCACCCCATGACCCCGTTTTGGATTTGGGGAATGTTTTAATATTACTCAAGGAAAAAAATACATATATATCTATATCTATCTATCTATCTATATCTATATATATATCTTGAGAGAGTTGGGTTGGGGAAAACAAAAGGCTTGCGGGGTAGAAAAAAACAAAAGGCCTATTTTTATAAATGTTTAATGTTTTCACCCCTTGGATGCTCCAAGACGCCGTAATGGTGACGGCGGGGTATGTGTGCCATAAATCATTTAGTTGCTAATAAAAATTCTGCCTGTTTGCCCTGGATTTGCCAATGGCGTTTGCATTTTTCAAGTGTGCGCCTCGGAGGCGTGACAGACCCAGCCGGTATTTCATTAGGGTCGCGGTTCGGGGCCGAGGAGGCCCCCTCCCCGCCTGGGCTTTGTGCGCCCAGGCCTCTCGCGCCCTCCCCCCATACCTGCCCCACCCCCACCGCACCCTCTCCAGTTGGGCGGCCCTGCAGCCACCAGAGCCCGGCCGGGGCGCAGGGCCTGGAGACGCGGTGGTGGCGGTGGCTCCCAGTTCCTGGCCGCCGGGTGGGGCGCCCGGGACGCATCTTGCCCCTGCTGGTTCTCCAGGGCTGCCGCGTGCATGGGGGCGCGGACAGCCAGAGGCCGCCTGCCCGGGCCAATCTGTATGCGCCCTGATCTTCGCCCGCTCCCCGGTCCCGCGCCCTGGTGTCCCCGCAGCCACTGAGTAAACAGCGACTGGGAGCCATCTTGGGGCGGAGGACCGATCCCAAGCGAAGTAGTGGGTGCAGTCCGGGCTCCCCCATTCGTGGAAAGGAGCCTCTGGGACATCCCTAACCAGGCTGCGGGGTCCAGGAAAACGCCCTCCCCAGTATGGCGGGCAATATTGAAATGTAAAAACCAGGCCTAGGCGCCATGGCCATAGTGCACAGGCCAAAGGCATACAGGGCCAGCCTCCATCTTCTGCGCCCCACCCCCATTCCATCCCCTCCCCCACCCCACCCCCTCATACTTTTGTTTACCCATCCAGATAGGTGGCCAAAAACTGTGTGCGTGTGTGTGTGTGTGTGTGTGTGTGTGTGTGTGTATTGTACCGAGTGGGTGGAAAATCGGCTGTGGGTGGGGGGGTTCTTCCTTGTAACCCCAAACCGCAATTGCGGGAGAATCTGCCCAGTGAGGCCTGGGCCAGCGCGCTTCTTTGCGGCCAGCCTGTGTAACCGGAGTGGAGGTCTTTCCTGTGTTCCGAGGCCGCCCGCTCCCTGGACGCGTCCCGCCTGACAAAATTCTCCCTCTTTGTTTTAAAACCAAAGGACAGGCCAACCTTGAGCCCGGCCGTCTCCCCTGTCGCGCTTTAGTTGGCGCAGGCTCGGTCCCCCGCACCGAGCTAGTACGACTCCCGCGATTACACAGCGTCTCTCAATTCAGTGTTGAACACCGGTGCTTCCCGAATCCTGGTGTTGCTGGCCGCTTGCACCGGTCTCCCCTTAGCCCCAGCAGAGTGGGAAAAAAAGCCGGTATCCTTTCCTTGGCGCAGCACCCGAGCCACTCCGCCAGTTGCCCCAACCCCTTTTCCAGGTGGTGACCAAAGACACCAAGTCTCCGCTGGCACCTCGGTGAAGGGGACCCCGAGGGATCGCTGGCTTCTGCTGCCCTCTCAGAGGCCGTGTGTGGTCGGGTATCTTAAGCGCTGGTTTCCGCAGTTCCCGTGTCTGGCGGGCGCGGCTAAAATCCGGAGAGGCTGTGCCCGGGAAAGCCACGTTCGCCGTCCCCTCGCTGCGACAGGGCCAGCTGCAGTACAGCACCAAGGCGAGGTCAGGCCAACCCAGCCGGGAGCTGCCCGAACCTGCCTGGAAGACCAGGGACGCGGCGCCAGCGCCCCACACCCCATCGAGACGAGGGCGCAAGGCAGGCAGAATTGGGACTGATGCGCCAGGCCCAGCCCGGATGGATTCCAGCTCCTCTCGGCCCCGCCTCCGGCCCTGGCCTCTTCCTCCAGCCGGGGTCGGGTCCTCCACTCCACTGTTTGGCTGGGAGAGGACGGATACGCGCTCGGTGCGCAGGGGGCCGACTGCGGCCATAAATCTCGGGGCGGGCCCTCCTTCCCGCAGCTCACGCGCTGGTGCTCTGGGCCGGCCTGGCGTCCTGGGCCACGCCACACGCCCTGCTCACCCCATCACGGGCTGGGGACCCCCGAGACTGCGCAGGGAACCACGCCAGGAGCTTCTCCGTTTGCCAAAGAGAGGGAACGGCCTCGTCCCTCCGTGCCAACACCATCCATCCCTGAGGGCGCTGGACCCTGAGGTGGCCCGAGCTTCACAGGATCACCGCCTTGGGGTAGGGGCGACAGGGCCCGGTATTTCCTCCTAGGAAGGCTCGGTGGGACTGGGATGGGCGCACGGCTCTCTGCTCGAGCTCAACTCCGGTGCCATCTGCACCACGGAGGGGCGACGCCAGGGTCAGGGTTAGAGCGGCTCCTCAGAATTCAGCTTGCCACATCTCCACGGACCCTGCCTTTATCCTGCGCCTTCTCGGAGCCCTCTATGGGCGCATGATGGGGTTGTTTTTTTTTTTTTTTTTTTTTTTTTTTTCCCTGCACGTGAGGACCAAGGGGGCGGGTGACTGTGGGCACCATGCGTGGAGGCAGGGGGTCATCTGGTACCC